ACGTGAATTCTTGCTAAACGGTAGGAGCAACAAAATCCGGACTGCGGCAACAAATTAGCACATAATTAGCACTAAATTAATTGTTAAGTGCGACTTGATTTGGCGATGGTGGGGGATGCAGCTTAATAGGGGTGAAAGTTATTTATCTAAATCTGCAGGAAGAAATATAATCATTGCATCACATGACTCATTTTGGCATTCATGATTTCACGATTGCTAATTATTTTATTGTCTTGGAGTTGATTTTAGGAACAATTCATATCCTAGAAGTTTTTTCTCTCTTTATTATTACGGATTAGGAAAAAACAAATATTAATTATAAATATTTTTTTCCAATAAAAACGTTGAAACTCATGTTAATTTTAATATTGTAACTCTCTATATTATCCAAACTTACTTATTCAATATTTCAGTTAAAATAAGAAATATATTGTATTTTTATATTGTAATTTCAACGATTTTGCTCTTTAATATTGCAAAGCTAATGATGAATTAACTATGAATACTTGAGCGTAACACTATTGTATAGTCACATAAAGTATTGCTCATAATCTTACCTCTGGCAACTTCTCTACAGGTTTAGCTCTTGGATTGGCGTATACTTGTATTTTGTATGTGCAGTTCGGGCGTGTTTGTAGCTCAGGCATGTGATGCAATAATTTATTTTGCGGCACTAATAAACTAAGTGGACTTTTATCCTGTACTGTGTAGAGTGCAGAACCTTCTGGGCATTCTATCCTATTCACATCACTTTTCTTTGGTATGCTTGTAATCATAACACTGTAATGCATAAACATTAAAGTTTATATTTATTGAATATTTATGTATGTTATTGAAAAACTAATTAAACGATACAAAGACCTGTATGAAGAAGGTTGTTTTCCTTTACTTGGCGGCATCCAGGATATATTCATTTTCAATGATTTCAATGTATTTTCACCTTCAAGATCATTTACATCTTCTAAAGCATATACTGTTATATTTTCCACAATGCCAGCAAATTTCATTGCATTCTTTATGTTTGTCGCACATATTGTATGAAAAAGTAAAAACAGTACAACAACTATATCACGTATTAAAGTCCACATACACACATATTTGCACTGTGTAAACATCTCATAGTATGACTATTATTTAAACAAATAATTTAGACGTTATATATGTCGTTTATGTTACTTTTGATTTTTATAACGGATTATTCGATAAAAGGATGTCTACTTAATACCACGCACTGTATTTTACCTCGAGTTCAAATAGGATTTATCATTTGTAACATATCTAAACCATTCTTATCTGATAATCTTATATTAATCGCCTTAAGAATGGCACAGCTTTTTGATAAAGCGATAAACGCAATGTGTAGAACTTTTGCTCCAAATATTATAAGATATTACTTGATTTTTGTAAAATCATAAAATTTTACCGGGTAAGCAAAATAACTATTAATTTCAAATTAGGTAATAATTACAATGAATAAAAAGTTAAACTACCAAATTAATTTTTATTAACAATAAAAAAATCAACACATGTATTCGTACATAAATTACACTGTCAGAGATCTATTTTTTGTTATTTGAAAAAAAATTATCTTTCATAGTATTTGAAGCGCTAAATCCAACTCCAAAAGTATATTGCATTAAGATTTTGAAAAAATTACAAATATACCAAAAATAACTATTTTAATTATATTTACTATACTATTATCCGCGTAAAGAGTAACTTTTTTCAATAAACTATTTTAAATAATTACTATATAAAAATATTAATGTTTTTATACTAAAATGAATAAATAAGATAAAGAGATATTGTAAAAAGAAAGAGAGATATATATATAATACACACCATTTTTGTGTGATATACTTTAGATAGTAGAACTAAGGTCACTCACACGGCTAATAAATGTTTTACAAGCTTATATATATGATCTGAAAATCTTCGGCATAAAAATTGCATATTAAATGACGAAACAAAAAATTTTTCCGAAATATATATATCTATTAAAAAAAGTTGTTCCTTTTTAAGCCATAAGCAAAACGATTTTTAAAAATCTTAAAGAAACAAAACAAAATTAATTTTAAAAGAAAATAATATTTCAAGATAATGTAAGTGAAACAAGATAGTGTAAAAAAAGTTTTATTCAAAAACATTGTAAATATAGCAAAAATTGCTGTTTTTGAGTCCGCATAAAAAAAATAAGACTGCGAAAAACTATTATTTTCCAAACAAAACAGATCTATGCAGAGAGCAGAGAATTCTATTTATTCGTATAATTTATAATAATTCATAATTCTCATTTCTGATCTAAATTATTTCGAAAAGAACATTACCCATTTTGGGCCATCCGCGAATAGTAATGGGACCCAATTTTATTATTAAAATAAAAACTCGAAATATCTCTGAAACTGTGGAAGATAGGGGGATAATTTGTAGGACATTTTGGAAAGCCTTTTCCAAGCCCTTTAAAATGCACTATTCTTAATCCCTCTTAAAAAATATTATTCATTATATGAACAAGCATAATGGCTTCTCAGTAATTTCAGTAACGACAACTATAATTGTTAATTTCTTATTCTTTCAACACTCTTATTAATCGTGGATCTATAATTCATTATTATTCGCTTGTGACCCAAAAGCACATATAAAAATGGATAATGTCCTTTCGTAACAACTTTTTCTATTTAACTGTCCAGGAAGCAAATGGCCTCGGCTGCGATGTCACCAACTGACGATGACGAGCTCACTCTTCCTCGTGCATCGATTAATAAGATAATCAAGGAGATTTTGCCTCACATGCGGGTTGCGAATGAGTCTAGGGAACTGATTCTAAACTGTTGCACAGAGTTCATTCACTTGCTGTCTTCTGAGGCAAATGAGATCTGCAATCAACAGCAAAAGAAGACTATAAACGCAGACCACATTCTTCAAGCGCTCGAGAAATTAGGTTTTGGCGATTACAACGCTGAAGCGGAAGCTGTATTGCGGGATTGCAAGGCTGTAGCGGCTAAAAGAAGGCGTCAAAGTACCAGGTTGGAAAATTTGGGAATTCCCGAAGAAGAATTATTGCGGCAACAACAGGAACTGTTTGCTAAAGCGAGAGAAGAACAAGCTGTCGCAGAACAGCAACAATGGCAGCAGTTGCAAGCTGTTGCGCAAATGACATCCATGCAACAAGCTGACAGTGAACAGGAAGATTATTCATAAAAAAATTCAAATTGTCTTTTTTTTTTTTAAATTTAATTAAAGAATTTAGGTTTAAATTTATATTAAATTTACAATTGATTGCATTTATTCAAGTTTAAATAAAAAATCTTAAAATTTGTTTTCAAAGCCCGATGAATATATGTATCATTCACTTCAAGAAATTTATATTTATAATATACAGGAAATTGTAAAGATGAGAAAATTCATAGAGATAAAAATAGCAATTGAAAAGTGTTAAACACAAAAGCGAAATAGGTTAAATATAAAATTTGCTAAACATTCAAGCCATTTTTAATAATTTAATTCTGTATCATATCGGTGTATTGTACATGAAAAATATCTTAATATCATAACTTGTAAAAGCAATATATCGTATAAAGCCAATTAAATTAATTGTACCTCTATTTTTCTTCACATCTTTCCGTGTAAGCAATTTTCAGGTTTAAGGCATCAACCTTCCATATTCAGAGGATAGATGGCTTTTTTTGATTGCTTCCATAACTTTTGAAACATAATGATACCTGCCAATAAAAAAACTATTATATTTTAAATACATATAATAGACTCATTTAAAATTTTTTTTTATTATTATTTCAAATAAAACTATAATTTCTCTCAAAATAATATAAAATATATTTACGCAAAAAATGTTAAAACAATATATTGGACTGAACCAAAAGTTTGTTGAATAAGCTGTGGTTCAACTCAATATAAACTTAAAAATAAGGAGTATTTGAAAACCATTAAAGTGCCAACTTTTTATTCCTGTATTATTCTCGTATTTATTCCTAATTTCTTTTTTATTCAATTATAATCAATTGATCGTTAAAATAAACTGAAGAAAAAATAAAAAATGGACACGACTTGGTTCTGATGAATAAAGCCTGCGAAAACCCGACTCATCGTTGTCGTTATCATCGTTGTGAATATTATAACAAATATAATAATATTATATAAGATATTATATATAATAATATTAAGTACTAATCATAAATACAATTAATAAGTGCTATTAATTATTATTACTTTACCAGCTTCTCTCCGTTAAGACGGACGGTGTCATCGGATTTCTGGGAACTCCATGTATCTTTATTCGTAATTTATCTATAAGAGACTTTTCAGTTTCGCAAAAAGTCATGTCTTCTGCAAATACATTAGGTTTCAATATATAATTTTTTATAAAATTCTAAATTTTCTAACAGTTTTCTAAAAAGATCCTTACCTTCTTTAATACTCGAAGGTATTAAAAATAAGTTTAAACCGCCTTCTGTTGAACTTTGAGTCATGTCTATACCGCTATGAGTTTGCAGTCTAGAACTGGTAAATACTTTATTATAAAATGCCTGAAACAAAAAAGTACAATAAATATGAAAATAGTGTGCGTACACTTAAATATAGTCAGAATTGAGCAAAATCTCTACTTTCAACAACTTGACAATTAAGAAATGTTTCATTATGTCATAAATAAAAAATTATTTCTAAAAAAATTTTACTCATATATTCGAATTTTTTTAAACAATGACCTCAAATCTACAAAGTTTTGAAATTTTGAATAAACTCAATACGGCAATTATAAATTTGAATAATATTAGGTTGTCCCAAAAGTTTTTTTCGTTTTCTTACTATAAATTAAAAACTCAACCTTTTATGAACGACACAATTTATTAAAGTATATACAAGCCATTCTGCTCTACCACCTTTCTCCATCTCTCCGAAAGCCTCATGATGCCATTTTTCCAAATGTCTTTGATTTACTGGCAAAATATTGATTGAGGTGATTTTTTATGCCATTCAAAGAGTGAAATTTTTTATCACGAAGAGAATTTTTTAAAGAAAGGAATAAATAGTAATCAGAAAGAGCGAGGTCCGAAGAGTAAGGAGGATGAGGTAGAACATCCCAATCAAACGACATCAACTTGTTTCGAACGGCCAAAGAGACATGCGGCCTAGCGTTATCGTAATGGAAGACAACGCCTCGCCTATTAATCAATTCCGGACGTTTCCTGGATATTGCAGCTTTAAGTTCGTTGAGTTGGCAGCAGTATTTTTTAGAATTAATGACTCGATTGGGTGGAGGCAATTCGTAATATACCACACCCTTCCAGTCCCACCAGATGGATAGCAAAATCTTCTTTGGGTGAAGGCCGGTTCTGGCAACAGACAAGGGGCTTTTATCCCGACTGAACCATATTCGTTTACATTTTACGTTATTGTAAAGGGTCCAACTTTTGTCCCCAGTAATCAGTCTTTTCAAGAAAGGATCTTTTTCGTGACGTTGGAGAAGCAAATCGCAGATGGAAATGCGGTCTAAAATGTTGCGTTCCGTCAGTTCATGAGGAACCCACACTTCAGAGCGATTCACGTATCCGAGCTTCACGAGATGATTGTAAACTGTTGTTCATGGAATGTTTAGAGTGTTTGCAATTTCTCTAATAGTGTACCGGACGTTTTCGTCGACTAGTCTTAATGACATCCGTATTCGTGGTGAATAGTCGGCCACTGCGTTCTTGATCTTCTAGACTCAAATCTCCGGCTCTAAATTTTCTGAACCAATTGCGGACAGTCTGGACAGTCACAGTATGATCCTCGTACACAACGCAAATCTCACCGGCAGTTTCTTCAGCGCTGCTACCTTTCTTGAAGCAGTGCAGTATCACGTGCCGTAAATGTTTCTTTTGATTCTCCATCTTCCAGTACGCATAGAAAGAGACCAGGACACTTTTCAAGCAAACAACTGCACTGTTAGGAAGCTAACAAGCGGCCGAACACCAAAATATTAATAAAAGCCGATCGGGTTGCGCGTCTGCTTTCTTGTTGCATAACAATGCTTAGCGCGCAAATTACGAAAAAAACTTTTGGAACAACCTAATAGATTTTACATAAAATTTATTTGGAAAGCTTTAGGCATCTTTAATTTGAAACTTAAAATGTCAAATTTGTGAGAAAACTTTTTTTGGGAACAGAAAACGAAAAATCTACATTTATCTAGATATTAAGTATATTTTAATATATTTAAGCTCAGAAATAGTTGTCGACGCGTAATTTAAAAGTGGCATGTAAACTAGAGTTTTTTTTAAAATACAATAAATTTTATTTCAGGTTTTAAAAAAATATTTTATTGAATTTCAAAGTATTGATATCAGATTGGAACTCAAATATTATAAAAACTTAGAAATCAAGTTTAATAAGAATAAAAGATTTTTTAAAATTAAATTTATCATATTTTTGCCATATTAATTTGAAAATTTTGGCTAAAAATTTCAATTCAGCTATCTCAAACATCTTCATATTTTGCGAAAATTCTATACAGAGAAAATACTTTTTTAAATAATGTACATATAGGGTGTGACCCCCACTGGAACGGTGTCTCAAGTAAATTGATATTACTTTGCAACGAATGGAAAGAATATAGTATGAAATAAGTATACAATAATTAAGTAATTAAAATAAACATTATAGAAAAAATGCTACAAATTTGTCTGGACGCTCAATATTTAAAAAATGATTCATCAAAAAACACTGATAAGCTGAAAGAGAATATTTGAAAATATATCCAAGACATTTCCTCAGTCAGAAAGTATATTTGAGTTTGAATTTCTGTGCTGATTCCGATATTGGATAACACTTTAAAAATATTTATCACTAAACACCTAGATAAATTTTTAGTATTTTTTATGTTTATTTTAATTCCTTAAGTATCGTACTTTTTTGCATACTATACCTAATAATATTGACCGGTTTCCTCTACAAAACACGACATTTAATTCATTTTGTTCTGTTCATTCGTTGCAAAGTAATAGCAATTTACTTTAGACACCTTTCCAAGTCACTTTATATGTGCCATTAACACTTAAGAAGTTAGTTTTCTCTCAAATACTGATCCATGTTTTTATGTTTGATGTATGTTGTTACATATGCAATCAATTAATTATAAGAAAGTCATGGAAACTTAAGTACACCGATGTAAGAAAACAGTGAAAACAATGAAAAGAGGAAATTAAGGTAACAGAGATTTAATTAATTAAAAGGAAGAAAGAGGGAAAAAACAAGAGAACTAAAGTTAAAAAGATTTGGCTACATTTCAAAGAATAAAACATCTTGATATGGACGTATTTCTGTAATGAATGCAATAATACCTTCATTCTGTTAATATTATTAGGCATAAAATCTTGCACTTCTGCCTTATTATGCAAAAACACAACGTGCGGATAATATTCCACATAATCTTGATCCATGATCGTTGTTGAAGACGGTTTTAACATTTCTGCAGTTTGTAAAAATCTACAAAAGAGAAATAAAAATATATTTCATCGTAAATTTCATAATAAAATACAATAGTTATGTTACATGATTAAGAAATTAATAATATCTTTTCTTTTAATTTAAATTACTATTTATTGTTTTAAATTCTATACGTGTAATTGTCTAAAATATATTTGTGTAAATATATTTGTGTATATTTGTGTAAAATATATTTTAAATATATATTTAAATACCTCACCAAATTTGGATCCACAAACCAATCTTGCACAAATATAACAACGTGACACACTGAAAATAAGAATGCTGCAAATTGAAGCGATTGTAGCTCCAAATTAGGGTCGGCATTTGCAAAATCGATTGTAGATTTTTTTTGATCAAAAGAATTGGAATAATCAATTGGAGATCCAGAAAGAATCGGCTGAGTGTCCAAATATATTATCCTATTTTTAGTTACAAAGAAATCTATTCCAGTGGTACAATTTGCACCACTTTCATAATACGACAAATCTTGGACTTGAAAAATATCCGACCTATAAATTGTGAAATAAAATTTTAAAGCAATATTAGCAGCATTAATTTCAATGTAGCTGATAGCAATACAAATGCAATACATACGAATAATGTGACGTCAGCATTGATATGATTGTTGATTTGCCAACACCTTGCGCACCTAAACATCCGACGACTAAGAAATCTTGCTGATCGTACAAATAATCTATTGGATTCTCACATAGTTGCATATTTTCATCCATGAATTTGATACAAGTGGTCATCTCAGGACACGTGGAAACAGTACGATTTGCTAAAATGTATTTTTCAAGTTTTCTAAATAATTTGAAACATCACCCCATAAGTATTAAAAATAATATGTAGTGTATTATATATGTAAATTATACATGTATTATTATATATATTATGTGTCAGTTTCAGAGTTATTAAAAAAATTTTTGCAAAAAAGTCTTCCAAATAATATATGGATAAGAAATAGATTTTTCCATAGATTGCTGAATTCACGTTTCTGCTCAAAATTGTCATTCAATTGAAACATCACCCAAGTATTATACATAAGTATTATACTAATTAAATACTAATTCAATATGACAAACCTAATATAGTAGATGAATTTTTGAAAAATTATTTCACTCTCTTCAAATTAAATTTTGAGGATCTTTATAACATTGAGATATGGATGTAATATCAAAATTTAAAAATTCAGAAAATTATTATTTTTATAAAATACAAAATATAATTTTGTGTTTTTAAATTTTTATTTACATATCACATTTAAATTAAAGTCAAATGTCAAACTATTTTTTAATTTAATCATATTGTATCTGTCAAAATTTTTTATTCATAAATTACAAAACTTACATTTTAATTTTTCCAATTAGAAATTCTAAAAATTCTCTGGAAAAGTTTCATATAAAATCTATTATTTAAATTTCCAATTGTTACATTAAACTCATTCAAATATCCAAAATTTTGGCTATAGATTTGAATTCAGCGTTTCAGAAAACTTTAAATATTCATTTTTAAATAACTATTAATTATTTTTTCATAAAAATTATTTTTGCTAATAAAGCATTTTTATTTCTTAAGTTAAGTTTCTACAGTTAAAAAGCTAATATGCATGACCGCAATGGACTGCCATTATATATTGAATAATTACTTACATTCTTGTAGTTTTGTTGATGCTCCTGAAGATACATCGACATCTTTTCTAAAAAAAATTTTTATGTAATAATATTGACATTGCTTTATCTACATTAGAATTATGCTATAAATGTCACGATTACATCTACATAGATTATTTCCATAATATATGTACAAATTTCTTTTTAATGTAAACAATTATAAAAATTAATAATTAAAGTATTGAACATCTAAAACATCTAATTTGAGTATTAATTAAATCAAAACATTAATTAATTTAATTGATAAGTTACAATAACTAATAATAATGTGTCAAATTTTAATTACATTACGTAGAGAATTGGCAAAATTAACACAAAAAATAAACTTATCATTAATTAATATTTTATATCGTATATAATTTGCTTCTATATCGTAAACAATATATATTATGTTAAATGACAATCAACTGTACTTGAATATATTGTACCAGGCAGTGCTGTGCATGCAGTCAGTGAACCCATTCTTAGTTATATTAATTTTTTTTATTTTAACTTTTTTATATCTTTTCTTAATATTCTTCATGTAATCTAAGTCTTTTCCTTTCTACTTATTATCTATCAAATTGAAGAGAGTAAAATTTGCCTTAACTGTTTTCTTTGTCTCTCTCTGTTTCAAATTTTTAATCAAAATTAAAATAATTTTAAGCAGATATCAAATTTATTTACATAATTTTTGCAAAACTTGATTTTTTGTAGATATAAATTATATAAAATTACGCACGCACGCACGCACGCACGCACGCACGCACACACTTCAAATTTGTACAATTAACTATAAATTTTTTGGGACCGATTATATCCATATTGTAAACTTTTTCCTAAGTTTCTATTCTTTTGTTAAAATAGAACATATGTAGAATAAAATGTGTTACTTTGATAATATACCATCTTTATTCTACATATACTTACACAAGTATGATAATAGAAGATCAATGCAGAAATTTATTTTATATACAGGGTGATACAATAACTATTACCACCTTAAATATCTTCAAATCTATAAAATCCAGAAGAAGATTTGTGTAACTAAAGTTGCATGGTACGAAGGGGGCTATCATATGGCGATAATAATTTTTGTCCAGATGGAAACGCTTCAGAGATATCAAGCTATTTAACGAGATATTTCATAGTTTATGTAAAATTATGTCAAATTAAAGTATAAAATCTCTCGTAAACTATTCAATTTTTGGCCATCTTACCTCTATAATTAACTTTTTACGCCGAATATTGCAAGGAATCGATTTATATAAAAAAATAAGAGTAGTTCCATTTAAAAATGAAGATGACCTTGATATCTTTGAAGCGCCTCCACCTGGATAAAAATTATTATTGTCATATGATAGCCCCCTTCGTACCATGCAAATTTAATTACACAAATCTTCTTCTGGACCTTATAAATTTGAAGATATTTAAGGTGGTAATAGTTATTGCCTCACCCTGTACTATATATAGACATTTAGATAATTCATAATACAGACAAGATTAGAGACATTATAGATGTTTCATATATATACAGGGTGTCCCGTAAAGACCGTAACAACGCTTAGGGATATATTTCTGAGATAATTCTGAGCAAAAAATCTTAATACTAAAATACTCAGGGTGTAATGGTTTTTAAATTAGAAGCATTTAAAGTTAGCGAATAAGATAGCCTGAAATTTGCGCGCTCAGGTGTATACAACGTACAGTGATAAAAGAGAAATTGACTATCGCTCCCCTGTTGTCAGTATTAATATTTGGAAAATAAATTTGCCAATACATATTAACATAAATATTGTTTACGCAATTAAGATTTTGTTGAAAATATTATTAAAAAAAAATATTATGATACACAAAACGCAAGCTGTCAAAAATTACATTTCTTTGACATTTCTTTTTATCTTACAGATATATGTACAATAAAATTATTAAATAATTGAAATAGTTTTACAATATTTTATTTTAATAACAGTTAAAAATAATTAAATAATATTGAATATGTAAAGACTCTTTGCGCATAATTTTCAGGTAATAAATGTTGTACCTTTGAGTAATGAAACGCATGCATTTCATTTTTTTTAAATATTTTATAAATCATTGTTTTTGACATTCCAACTTGACGACTAATTTCACGAATACTCATTGTAAGATTTTCTTCTACATTACGTAGTACTTCTTCTTCATTTTATCATAAATGAGTAACATATCACAATATTCTGTACAAATAATGAGTAACATATCACAATATTCTGTACAAATATCTGTAAGATAAAAAGAAATGTCAAAGAAATGTAATTTTTGACAGTTTGCGTTTTGTGTATCATAATATTTTTTTCTTTATAATATTTTCAACAAAATCTCAATTGCGTAAACAATATTTATGTTAATATGTATTAGCAAATTTATTTTCCAAATATTAATACTGACAATAGGGGAGCGAGTTTCAGGCTATCTTATTCGCTAACTTTAAATGCTTCTAATTCAAAAATCATTACACCCTGAGTATTTTGGTATTAAGATTTTTGGCTCAGAATTATCTCAGGAATATACTCCTAAGCGTTGTTACGGTCTTTACGGGACACCCTGTATGTATATATATATTTGATTGTATTAGACCTAAAAAATGACTAAATAAAAGCAGAGAGAGCTGACTTATTCAACTTTCAACAGTTTGCAAAATAAAATTCTCAGAGATAATTTTGATAAAAATTGCCTGATTTTTTAATTTTTTGATGTAGAAAAAAAGTGATCAAAAATTTTCAGTTTCCAAATTTTTTTAAAAGTAATAAATACCTTAATTTATATAATTATTGTAATTATAATTAACATTACTATACTTATGTCCATTACGTTGGCTTGGGGAAACAGCTCTGTTTTCTCCTTCTCTAGTCTTTAATATGAATGTTGGTCTCTCTACGATTTTAATTAAAGTCCTGTTTTCTCCATCTTTCATCTCTGAGTCCTTCGGTGTTGCTGACATTTTATTTGTAGCAAAATATCAACACTGTAACATATTTAAATATACATATTAAGTTAAAATTATTTTTAATTTATTGTACAAATACATAAATATATAAATGTAATGTATAAATTGAAACTTTGTATTACAATAAATAGAAGCAATGCATTGCATATCATTGAGCTAGATAGCATACTAAAGAGAGCCTTAAAGGAGTGAGGATGATTCCACTCTGGAAAAAGAGTTTAATATTGTCAAGTATATGTTTCATCCCCACCAATATACAATGTAAATGTGGAAGAAGTACAGACAACCTCTGGCTACTATTGTTCTCTTTGGCCCGAAAACTACACATTGGCTCTTATGAGAAGGCTCTCTCCAGTATGTTATAGAGCTCAATGTTGCATATATCCTCTTCATATATAATGGGTTGTTTTATTGGGAATGTTTAATGTTTTTGTTAATCTCATGTATTTTTTAGAAGTTTTCTGACAGTTTAGTTCTTTCTGACACTTTATTTACATAACCTTGTTAATAGTTTTCAGATATGCACACATCTACTTGAGCGGTTTGATTCCAATTCTCTTTCTTCATATATAATGTTTTTCATTTACTGATTAAGTAGCTTTCATTGAACACTGAACACTGAACTCAATAGCTTTGTTTGCGTCGCATACTCCAATATATACACCAGGGAGTACTTAGATCCAGTGTGGCCAGATTACCCCTCCATTCCTGCTGTTGCTGTTTGCGTCTTAAAGTTAGGTTGCGTTCCGTTTCGCACATTATGCGCACGAATTACATAGAAAACGTTCCGTTTCACTCAATGCGCGTATGAACAGCGCTTAGAATTCCCTAGATCCCCACCACCTGCAGCGCATAATACACGCATCAGCTACCTCAAGTTTGAGTTGCAGCAGCTTATTGGCCGGAGCACAGACTTTTGCATAAAGCATAACGCATAAGCATAAGGAAATTGATTGGTCCATTTCCTTATGCATTTGCTTATGCTTATATATAGACCAATCAATTTCCTTATGCTTATGCGTTATGCTTTATGTAAAAGCTTGTGCTCTTGGCTTAT